AGAGAGGGGCCATACGGAGGTTGTTAAAACGCTGTTATGTGACGGCCGAATGGATCCATCCCGGAAAGACAATCGTGGCCGAATGTTGCTAAGTTATGCTGCACAATATGGCCTTACGGAGGTTGTTAAAACGCTGTTATGTGATGGCCGAGTTGACCCAGACCGGCAAGACAACTTTTGCCGAACGCCGCTGAGTCGGGCTGCAGAGAGGGGCCATACGGAGGTTGTTAAAACGCTATTATGTGATTGCCGAGTTGACCCACACCGGCAAGACAACTTTGGCCGAACGCCGCTGAGTTGGGCTGCAGAGAGGGGCCGTACGGAGATTGTTAAAACGCTGTTATGTGATGGCCGAGTTGACCCAGACCGGCAAGACAACAAAGGCCGAACGCCGCTGAATCTGCTGCAGAGAGGGGCTATACGGAGGTTGTTATAACTCCTATCTGATGGATGAATTATATGAGTTGAATAGTCTGACACACTGGCATTTCTTTAGAGGTTCCTAAGTTAGCTGATTAAAAAAAGATTCATTTCTCATGTATGTAGGTGCAATTACCTTTCTCTTTCATTACCACTCTTCGTTCTTCTACTCCTTTTCACGTTACTTAGATGCTCGGATAGCAGATGATAACTTAATTCTCTCTTTGAACGAAAAGCCATACCTCAACCGTTTCACCCATTGTGATAAAAGTTCCTAAGCTGCATCGTTTGAAGTTAGATATCTCATCCTGTTGCTTAGTAGTTTGACGGATATCGTGCCATCCTCCTAACCCAAGCTGGCTCTGAGCGCAGTGAAACTGGGAAGCAAAGTTTTCAAGGGGTTAGGTTGAGATATCGATACAACATAATGCCTGTTGTAACGATTCCAGGGTTTCCTGAGTTTGGCTATTGAGTCTGAAAAATGGAAGTTCTTATACACAATGTTCAACACGGTGGTCATCAGTTACAGTAAGCAGCTGTTCCTATCATTCATTGAGGAGCCCTCATTGACATCCTCGAGTGTGTGATTAGCTACATCCTTGTGTACAGAACACAGATCATTCTCATCTGCTAATTATCACTGTTCCCTTGATCATTCTTATGTGTATTTGTCGATTATCAGTCTTAGATGGGTGACTATGGAATGGGGGACTTTGTCTGACGCAAGAAAGGTTCGGCAATGGGCCAAATGGGTTATTTGATAGTTACTGACGATTAGGGTACACAACGCAGCCAATTGATACGTGTAATAATCTTGGTCCTTAGTGTCCTTGAATTAGGGAGAGAAATAACCAAGTCCTTCGTTGTGTCCGGGCAGTTTCCTTTATGGAATCCTCTTGCCCTTGTGAGTCCCTCGGCCTTCCAGAACTTTCAGGGGCCTCGTCCTCCTGCTTTGGCCATCCGACTCATTCTGTCGTGTGGCTCCATATATCTTCCGAGATCAACCACGTATTCGTGTCGTTCACAACCATTCTAACTCTGGTGTCCTTGTGTTGGGAGTCAGGACACCCCTTTCCCTGGACTACCGTGTCCGTGTGATATCTGGACAACTTCTGTAAGGTTGTTGGAGTTCTGAACCGCATATTGGATTTGAACCAGAGCTGGGGGATTGGTATGTGGCTCGAGGTGTAACGGGTGACTTGGTCTGAGACAGGCATGGATCGACAATGGGTCAAATGGGTTAGATGATGGCCACTGACAATGTGGAGTGCACAGCGAAGTCAATTACTACGTGTAACAATCTTGGTCCTTAGTGTCCTTGTGTTTGCGAGAGGAAGAACCAAGAAAAGTCTATCATGTCCGGGCAGCTTCCTTTATAGAATCCTCATTATACCTCGGCCATATGGCTCATTCTTTTCGGTCATCCGGCTCTAGACATCTTCCGGGATCAACCACGTATTTGTGCCGCGCACAATCATCCTGTCTCTGGTGTCCCTTGTGTTGGCAGTTGGGGATATCCCTTTCCTTGGACTGCCGTGTCAATGTGACAGAGGGTCGGCGTATAAGGTATGAAGTTGCTCGGCGCAAGCTGACTGGTTGGCTGAGGCGGTTTGCCAGGGCCAGGTTGTAGTATTGCAGGGGTATAAGGTTGATAACTGTGTACCAGTGGCATTGGCTAATGATACAGAGAAGAGTTTACTTGGGAATCAGGATAAGGGTGGAAGGTTGGCTGACCCTTGGGAGTAGAACCGTTCTGAAGCCCATAGGGCTGTTTGAGATAGGGTTTTGGAGAATGGACAGGAAACGGGCCTTTTTAGGCTGTTGTATCGGGACTGGACGAGGCAGTTGCGCTGTTTGAGGATGTTATGCGTTTTGTAATGGATGAAGATGAGGTGTTGGGTTAACCAGCATGAGCTGTTGGACTTTGGTGACGTTCTGGTGGATGGGATCATAGTTATGTTCAGACTTAACCTTATGAGGTTGTTGACCATAAACTGGTTGAGCAGGTTGACCATGAGGCATAGGAGCCCGAGAGGTAGGCTGACTGGCCAGGGGAAGTCTCGGGAGTTAGAGAGATGGAGGAAGTTGGTTGTTGAGAGGCTGTTGAACCTGAACGCTGACATGCTGCGAAACAGAGCCCTTGTCAGGTTGCTCTATTTAAATCAGAGCCCCTGACTTGCCCTGGTACTCTTGAGAAAGTTGAAACAAAGGCGCGGGTTGACTATGACCTGGACAATTTGCTGAATCTATAAGGTTTTTGAGAGTGAGGAGAGTGCTGAACTTGAATCTGAAAAAGTGGTTGTTTTGAACTCTCTCCGGCTGCTGGACTGAGGGCTTGCTAAGAAGGAATTATCGCTGACCAACTTCCTTCCCCTGTTGAGTCTGTTTCCCCTTAAGAGATTGCCCATGAAGACCCAATCCCTAGGCGACGGAATTGGTGAGAAACGGTTTCGTGGTTTGAGGAGTTGGCGAGTGCGTCCGCTTAGGGTCATCTTCCCAAGAAAAAATCCGAAGAGACTCTTTGGGTTGAGGTTGAGTCAGCTTAAGGGGGGCTTCCCAGGGGAGGATGCGCGTTGACTGAGGCTGAGAGGTTTGGATCTTCTGGGATGTGAGAGGGCGGAAGTTGGAGGGCTGAGCCTGGTCCAGGAAGCAAATTTTAATATGTTGCTTGGGCTTGTACAGGTTTATACAAGCTGCTGAAGAGCAAACTGTGGCGCAGAAGCCGAGTTTCATGAGTATAAAGAGGTTCCTGAGGCTCAGAAGACGATTTCATATGCTGAGGCTGACTGGTTGACTCTTCGATGACTGTACCTCCTTCATCTTTGGTAAGCTTCTCGAACGACTCCGTTGCCTTCTCTGGCTGCCCATCATCCATACACGCCGTAGCCAACTTATGTGTCATCTCCAGCAGCTCAACTTGGCCCTTTGGCAACATTTCTTCTGCACTCCTAACTCCGCATCCCACAACTGAATGGCCTTCGTGACCTTCCCATCTTTCCCATACGCCTCGGCAAGCCCTATCTGAGCCTTCCTCTTCGAGTTCGTGCTCACCGTTTGCGTTTTCTCCCCCGTCTTAACAACGTAACTGAGCAGTTTGACACCGTCCTTAGCCCTACCCGTCTCAATATACACCTACCCCGGATACATCCTCAACACCAGAAACCTCTCATTCCTGGCCTGGTCTTCATAGGTGGGCAGGTCATGCATACCCAACTCCTCATTAACACTCAATTGCCTCGGGGAACTGTCTTTCTGGAAAGAAAGCATCCCCAACCAAACCCAACACTTCGATCCGCTTTATCGTCTTAGCAGGCTTGCTCGCCCTCACCAAAGCCAGCGCATGCAGTAAATAAACATTCCACACATTTCTGTTGCTGGCTCTGAATTAGAAAAGACCTGACCAAGAGAACTTATTGCGCGGGCTCCTTCTGACAAAGTCTTGTTGTTCCTGTCTATCTAAACTTGCATCGTCTTCTGGACCAAACGGTCAACATCGTAGAGATCAATCTCCCTCCTCCGAATGAGGAACCCGTACTGACACAGCATCTTGACCGCCTCCCGACCGAGAACCCCCTCTAGCAGCGAAGAATCCCCTCTGACTCGGTCAACGCAACGAACTTCAGCACGTTCCTCGCGTCCCGTTCAACCTTATCATTTGACGCCGACAGTCCAGCAAACGTGACCATCCAAGTCGACGCCACCGGCGGGGGTAACTCATGATGTGGATCAATCCCAACCTGCTGCCTGCGACACTGAGCCAAATACGCTGCCACCGTAACCCCCATCTATTAGTCCATGTCACAACGTACCCATTTGCCAGAGGATGGCACCGCAGTTCCCTCACTAGCTCCTCCCCTGCTGGGGCAGGATATCACTCGCGTTAGCTTACCCCCACAGCAGCGCCCTCAACAGCTGCGTCGCCTCGGCACAATCCATCGGGCTGAGTTCGACGCAATGTTAGGGAGCAACAACCTACGCAACACTCCCCGTCGAGGTAATAAATAACAATAACTGATTCTTTCTTGCCGGAGGAAGGTATCTCATCACGCCGAAACAGTCCCGCTTACTTAAAGCTGCCGGGTCTTAGGATGTGCCAAAAACGATGCGCACCTTATCTGCGCCGTCAACGACTAGGAGCCATTTCCCTGATAAGAGGGGAGAGGATAGAAACGCTTGCACTCAGTGCCGGATCATGCCCGTATCCCGTCCTCCCCCTCCTTGGCAGTTGTACGCGCAAGGGAGGTAATTTACCTCCGCAATGGCGGAATAACTCTGGAAAAAGGAGTAGGGACTGGTTGCGGAGACCCCAGTAGACTACCATTCTTTCATGGCATAGTTCGTGTGGTTGGAGTGGGCATCACTGAGGCGGTAGTAGAGCTCAAGGGCAATGGCGGTTTTGCCGGAGCTGGAGATGCCGCCCAAAGCGAGGGGTTGTGGGGGGGATCATTGGGAGTGGAAGAGGAGGGATTGGAGGTGGGAGAGAATGATGGCGCGGCCGAGGAAGCAGGGGTTGTGGGGGTAGGGGATTGTATAATAGGGAGAGGGAAGAAAGGGTTCAAAGACTTCTGAACGTCATTAGCATTTTGGGGTAATTGAGGCATAGTACTCACTCAGAGCCGAAGAGGACGCAAGCTTTTCTTTTTACTTTCCCGTTCACCGGTCTCGTTGGCTTTCTAGGAGTCTTAGTCTCGTCTTTAGCATTGACAAGCTTCTTTGTCTTCACTCCCTCTTAGCTGAGCTGCACCTTTCATACCGTCTGTGCTTCTGCTTGACGAAGAATCTGGACGTGCCGTCATGAGCGTAGACCTGCAACCAGAAGGCTTGGACGACCCAAAGTCGGAGAGTTTCCGGGCATTGAGCTTCTCAATCCTGGTCTTGGGCAACCCCTGAAGTTGGTCTCCAAAGTCGGGAGAACTTTGGTAACCGATCTGACGGACGGCTTCGAGGAAGTTTCTAGCGTGGGCTTAAAGTCCTTTGCTTTAGCTTCCGACTCTTTACAAGATTTGGCCTTTGGCATGGCAGTAGACTGAGAAGAAACAGGGATCGCCGTCAAGCCAGTATACTTTGTTTCATCCCCTATCTTAGCCTTAGCGATTATGGACCTGGATACATCGGTAGTTCTAGACCCATGGGGCTCTTCAAGTGTTGGAATCGCTGATCGACTGGAGGGTCTCACAGTCCCATTCTTGAGTTTCTCGACTTAGATCTTTGTAGTATCCGCAGCCTTAGCGACCGACGCCTTGGTAGCCACCGCGACGTAGCCGCAGGTTTAGTCTTTTGTCTTCCTCACTTCAATACCATCAGAATAGTGGTGCTTAACCCTCCCAGAAGTAACCTGCACCTGTCTCTTTTTCGAAACCCCCGTCTTGCCCTTGCCAGGAGCAACTTTGACAACTTTCGTGGTAGGCGTCAGCTGGGGCGTCCCAGCTCTCCTTCTTGCCACTTGAGGAGCGTGAGGGCTGAGTCAGAGAGGTTTGAGGCTGTTCTTTGACGTTTTGAGACATCGGGCTTTTTTGAGTATGAGATGATCTTCATTTTTGGTTTTTGCTTATATGTTGGAAGAGAATGTTGGGACGAGAATATCGATGTGGTGGCTCGTGGGGTTGGTGTCTTTTTGCCAATTTGGTTAGAAATTTGGGATTCTCCATCAACAGCACGAAGAGACTTTATGAAATAGTGAGAGGGTGTTTTAGCTTTGTTGTTCAGCCTGAGTTGACATGGAATGAGTTACGATACTTCTCAGCACGAACAACCCCTAAGATAATAAAACCACTGAAAAAGAAGCAGAAATTAGAATCACGCGTTTCGGGCAGTTGAAACAGTGGTTACCTAGACTTTAGCTGGACACTTGAGTCTGTGAGATATTAAGAAAGGGATTGTATCTGGATTATATGAACTGCAAGATGGGAATGGCTTGATATAGTTTGATGTGTATGTACGGCGGTTGTCCATGAAGGTAGGGAGAAGAAAGTCAGAGTTGGCAAATGTGGAAGACACAGGAGGAGTTCAAGAGTGTAAGCGGTAAGAGCTTCGTGTTCATGTCAAGCCTTGAGGTATGTCATGTTTCAACAACCTCGTATTCGTCATTGTTAACACTGCACAACTTCCCAGTATTGATGTCAACCTAGTCCCTCGGGGGCCTTAATACTTTTTGAGCTAGCTGAGAATCAAAGGTCGCCTCTTCATGTTGACCCCAGAGTCTGAGTGCAGCCCCGTTGGCCCCCTTTACAACAAGTCTTAGGTTTGTGTAACAATTTAAAGAGTCGCATGAAAACCTCATTTATCTGTTTCGCTCACCCGAGAATCACCATAAATTTTCACCTCGGACAACTTCAACAAGGTGTGGCCATTAACACAGAAGATGGAGATCAACACCGCTCTATTCGGTGATCAGATGGCATGCTGGCAACAAGTCAGATATGCTGGTTACACCGGAAACACTCCATGCCATATAGAGTCAAAGTCCAAACCATGCCAAAGTCATGGAAGTCAGGGGCAAGCCAAAATTCTTGAAAAAGGTCCCATGTGCACATATTTGAAGGTGAAAGAGAGACAAGAGATTTTTTAACACTTTGGAAGATTTCAGCCCTTGAAGTTACCAAGAACGCCATTACCAGGAAGTCATGGTTAGAAAGGGCCCAAATAGAAGGATGACTGTAAGACTATGGCTTAGAATGAAAGAGTCCAAGAATTTCTTTTTCAAGCTCACACATAAACAAGCTTGCTCACAGCCAATCACTAACAAGAACGAGCTTTACGCATTCAGTTTTTATTCCCCTTTTCCTACCCTACTACACACAAGTTTGTAACAGATCCAGAAACCACCCTTTCATGCTCTCATATGATCGAAACCTTCTATTTTACACTTTAAACCCACTCACTCCACCTAACGCCATGCCTATACACCAGCCCATCCCTCTCAAACTGGGGACCCTCCGCATCAACAATATACCCTAACTCACATCTCTCATACTTCACCCTCTTCTGCTGCTTCTGATAGAACACATCAAACCTCGGGTGCAGCGCGTCCTTCAAGTTCTCCACATTCCCGGCGGGATGCAGCGCCTGCCACGGCTTGATGCACGTCTGGCCCTTGCAGCTCTTCAGCACAAACAGGAGAGAGTCAAGCCGGGCAACGACCTTGTCGAACTCGACCCCGAGGAGAGTCGGCGGCGGAGTGGCATCCTCATGGAGAAGGTTATTCATCTGGTACGGGTCCGTCTTCAAGTCATACAGCTCGTGCTCGTTGTTGCACCAGACAGAGTAGTAAAAGTTGTAGTCCTTCCCGATGATGCGCAGGGCCTTGTACGTGTTGTTCAGCTGCAGGCGGGACTCATCCTCCCTGAATCTCTTGCCCTCGAACGCGGCAATGCCCCAGAATTCGACCGTCACGTGCTCGTGGCGCTTGTCCTTCGCCTCCTCAAGCTCGCGCGCGGAAAGGGGGATGCGCTCGCCATCAAAGTCGGCGCGGGACGGGGCGCCCGCGAGGTTGAGGATCGTCGGGGCGATGTCGACGTGGGCCGTGATCACCTCAGAGACGTAGTTTTGAGGCACGCCCGGGCCGCGGATGATCAAAGGAACGTTAATGTCCTCCTCGAACCCGCACTCCTTCCCAGGCTGCAGCCGGTGCTGGCTGATGTGATATCCGTTATCGGTCGTGTAGATGATGTATGTGTTGTCGAGGATGCCCAGCTCCTCCAGGCGTTCAACGACACCCTCGACCAGCTCATCAACAGACTGCAGGGCGCGGAGACGCTGACGATAGAAGTGGTCGTTGAACTCGACGTTCTCGTCGCTCAGCTTGGGAAGTTTGCGGACCCAGTTCGCGCCGGAGGGCACGTCGGGGTTGAAGTTCGGGTTGCGGGGGACCTTGGCGTCGGGGAAGAGATGTTTGTGGCGCTCTGCCGGGATCGGGGGGGAGAAGAGGGTCTCATCCTCATCGTCGATATCCTTCCACGGATCAGACTCATCGATATCATCCAAAAGCTTGCTCTGCACATTTGAATGTGGCGCGACGGGGGCGATGCCCAAGAAGAAAGGACGCTCGTTCTTAGCGGCAATGTCGATGAAGCCGAGGGCTTTTTCGGCCAGCACGTCGACGGTGTGCTGGCCCTTGTAAGACTTGGGGGGTTCCCGGTTACGCTGGTAGGTCGCGTTCAGGTACATGTAGGTGTAGGGGTCGAGGAGGAAGTCGGACTGGTTCCAGCCGGCTGGGTAGGGCTTGTTGTAGTTCTCCACGGTGTGGGCGTTGAAGAGCTTGCCCGTGTAGTAGGTGTCGTAGCCAGCTTGTTGGAGCCAGACGGGCAGGTAGTCGTTGTTGAGGCCTTGCTTGATGAACTTGGGGTAGCCGCCTGCCTTCATTAGCTTCTTCTGTTTCATTTTCATTGTTCCCCTAGTGAAGGGTTGGGGGGGGGGGGAAACCTACCATGAGGAGGATTGACGTCCGTGACGTTCGTATTGTGCGCCAGGCGGCCAGTCAAAAGCGAGACACGGGCTGGGCAGCAGATGGCCGTGGTGCAGTAGTGGCGCGTGTACAGGGTGCCCTTCTCAATAAGATGCTTCCTAATCAAGGGAATATAGTCCAGGGAGTTCATGTGCAAGTCCTGGTCGTCGGTGAGGATGAAGATGATGTTGGGCTTCTTGCCGTTGGGGCCCGGGGCAGGACGCTCCCACTCGGCCGTCAGGTCAGTATAACCGCCGTCGGCGATCTGGTCGACATAGCTCTTGCCGTGGTTGGCAACGAGCGTCTTCTGCGTGTGCAGATCGTTGTAGTAGCCGGCCTGGGCCTGCGGCAGCAGGAGACCGGCCAGAGCAGCGACTCCAGTGTAGCGCATGGTGATGATGGGAGTCGAGATGTGTGACGGTATCGACCGGCTTCGAACCATCATCTCGAAACGATGGCCGTCGCCGGTTCAAATACACGCGCGCCAGCCGCATCACGACTCCTCCGACTGCGGCTTCGCGACGAGGATCGCCTGATTGCGTGATACCATGCACCAATTGCACTTCTCCCTCTCGCCTCCTCTTCCGAGCTCTCACAGCTTCTCTCATTGAGTCTAGACACGTCTTTCAAACCCGCATCTTCCTCCTCCTCATCCACATCGACCATCATCCATCATCCCATGTCCTTCTCCACAGAGCCGACCCCCTCCCCCCCCCCCCAAAAAAAAAACAAAACCCAGCCGCGACCCATGCAGTCGGGGCAAAAGCGAAACCGAGCCCGCAATTGCATCATTGCGAGCCGTAACCCTGGAGTCGCTCACAATACCGACGCTGGGGTTTAACTCCGTGACGACATGACCGCCATGGACGCTAGCAGCATGGCGCAAGGGATACTAACGGAGGATTTGCACAGCTTTCGAGAAAATGAGTGGGTGGACAGGCGTGCGGGCCGCGGGTGGATAGGCCCCATCAGGGCTGGCGACATTCGCGTTGGTGATGTCGTGATCGGCTGTGTAGCTTGGGCGACGCGATAGGGGGCGTACCCCTGCACGTCTCGCATCTTTGTCGCCGTGAAAACATGCATTACAGCTGCAACTTCAACATCGTGGTCGTGATGGTCTCCGGCGTTAAGTTGTCTCCGCTGGCCGGAGATTGACGGGTTGATGATGCCAAGGACAATGCCGACGTGGTTGTCGTGATGATGCGGCAAGCTAGGCGATTGCGACATTTGGGGCGATACTTGAGCTGCGAGGCCGTATTAGGGGGCAGGTTTTCATGTGTCGAAGTCTACACTTACTTCTGTGTTGTCGTGTAGTATCTTTTTTTTTTATTTTTGATGAAATAAGAGAAGTTGTTGCTCTTGGTGTGAGTGTTTTTTTGAAGTGTTTGTTTTTGTGTAAACCTCCGTTCCCTAGGCAATGGTCCAACAACGATCCGGCCCAACTCCCACCGAGGAGTCGCCACTCCTTGCAAAGCCCAAAAAACATGCCAACGGCCACGCAGACAGCAATAGTACGGGATACGTCTCGATCGGAAGCTCGTCCTTCTCCGACGAGGAGAGCCAGGGCGTCGGCGAGGTCGAGGAGAGCTCGCCTGGCGGGCGCCATGTGGCTGCCGTTATTGGAGTTCTCCTGATCGGTTCGTCTCCCAGATTGATGCTGATAATGAGGCATTACTGACGTTGTGAAGGTATCTTCGTCGGACATGCAGACGGCTCCATTCTCCTGGCCACGCATGCCAGCATCGCGTCCGAGTTCAACGACCTGGGCAACTCGAGTTGGCTGATCACGGGCTTCGCCCTGGCTGGCGCAGCGACACAGACTCTGGTAAGCCAAACTTGCTTGCGGGTATACTTGACGACGTGCTGACTTTCGAAGTACGGCAAACTAAGCGACATTTACGGCCGCAAAACTCTCGTCATCGCAGCCTATGTCATTTTTGTCGTTGGATGGTGAGTTTTTACTTTGTCTCTCTCATATGGGTATGAACAAGGCATGAATTAGGTAACTAACATCTCCCAGCTTCTTGGTGTAAGTCATCAACATCCCATGTTAGACGGTAAGTGATACTAAGTTAATAAGCGGCATCGGCCAAACAATGTGGCAAGTTATCCTCGGCCGCGTCATCTCCGGCGCCGGATCGTCCGGTATGACCGGTCTTGTTTCCATTCTCATCGCCGGTACGCCCTTTTCCCCCTTATTTATCCTCCCTCACAAATCCCCCCTTCCCCCTTCCCTACCCCCCCCCCCAAAAAAAAAAAAAAAAAAACCTAGAGTATTGACGTGTCAGACCTGGTCCCCATTCGCGAAGTAGCCGCCTGGCGCGCCTACGTCAACCTCGTGGCAACCCTCGGCCGCAGCATCGGCGGCCCCCTGGGCGGGTGGCTCGTCGACATAATCGGCTGGCGCTGGTCCTTCTACATCCAAGTGCCACCCATCCTGTCCGCCATTTTTCTCATCATTTGGTGTCTTCCCGAGACGAAGTCTGAGTCTTTAGAATATGACTCCGACGAAGAGGCCGCCGCGCGCCGACTGAAGAGCAAGCTCAGCCGGGTGGACTTCAAGGGGAGCATCCTGTTTGCGCTGGTGGTGCTGACGTTCCTGTTGCCGGTTGAGTTGGGGGGCGTGGAATTGCCTTGGACGAGTGGGCCGATTCTGGGGCTGTTTGCGTTGAGCACGGTGCTGCTGTACGCATTTATCGTAGTGGAGAGGGGGCAGGAGGAGCCGATTTTGCCGTTGGAGATCTTTGAGAGGCAGGATGCAGTCATCTCGTATATGATTTTGGGGCTGCAGACTGCTGCGCAGGTCGGGGTTAGTACTAACATATCTCGCTGGGGAGATTGCGTTGAGACTTGAGAGGGAGAGGCTAACCGTCTAACGACAACAGCTTATGTTTTCCGTGCCGCTGTATTTCCAGATCACCGCTCGCGCATCCAATACCGTTGCTGGCGCGCACCTCGTCCCGGCTGTGGTGGGCAACGCTATTGGTGGTGTTATCTCTGGGTTGATCATCAAGCGGTATGCTCCCTTCTCCCTCCCTCTCCCAACCATTCACCACTAATACCCGCGTTCTCTAGGTCCGGCCGCTACAAAGTCCTAATCATCTCCTCCGTCACCGTCTCTTCCATCTGCTACTTGCTCCTCATGGCCCGCTGGCACGGCAACACTGGCTTCTTGGAATCGCTCTACATCTTTCCGGGGTAATTCACCCTCCTCCTTCCCTTTCATATTCTACTCTCCCACTTCAAACTAACGAGACATAGTGGCTTCGGCACCGGCATAGCCCAATCAGCAGTCTTCATCTCCCTTCAAGCGGTTGTCGACCAATCTCACATGGCTCCCGCAATCTCGTTCATGTATCTGTCCAGCACTCTGGGCGTGACGGCCGGCTTGCCGGTTATTAATGCTGTGCTGCAGACTGCGCTGCGCAGGAGTTTGGGGTGGAGGTTGCCTGCGCTGGGGTTGGGGGGAGAAGAGGCTCGGAAGGTAAGTTCCCTCTCTCTCTCTTATCCGGTTATGGTTCATTATTCATCAGGCGGAATTTGGGGGTTATTGAGAGGATGGGGCTTACGCATAGACAGATTATCGAGAACGCTGTTTCGGACGTCGACTACCTGGATCAAATCACCGGTAAGGTGCGTGATGCGGTTGTAGCATCGTATGTGGATGGGTTGTGGTGGAGTCATGGTAGGTCTTTTTCTCAGCTTTTCTGTACACTGCTTATTCAACAGAGTGCTGACCCATAGTCAGGTATCTCCTTTCTCTTCTCTATCTCTGGCTTTGTCCTGGCCCTTTTTATCAGGGAAAGGAGGCTTGACCAGCACAAACCTTAAGGCCTAGCCGGCTGTCTGCTTGGGGGAGAAGGACAAAATCACCGCAAAGTTAATCGTTTGCTCGTGTCGAAACGGGTTGCTAGGGTTTGTTAGGCGGAAAGGAAAAAAGAGAGGTAAAATTGCTTGAATAGAGTTGGCTGACTTAAGAGAACCTGTTGGATGAGGGCTCTTAGAAGTCTGGAGTCCAGGGAAGAAGCACAGGCTAAATAGAAGTTGGTTTGGTTGACTTGACGATCAAAACTGATCTTTCGTAGAGTTTAGACATACCTTTGGCGACTTTGTTTCTTTTGTACATAATTTCATTGATTTAATAAATCTTGAAAAGCTAAGATAAAGTTTAGGTCTAGCGGACCCTGTGATGAACTGATATGACGATCCTATCCCAAAACACCAAAAAAATCTCTTTTTACCCGAAACCTGCCAACGCCATCCAGTCAAACAAACAAAATATGCACGAAAGAAACCCGTTCTCCATTTACAACTTCGCCTTAACCCCCTTTTTCCTCTCCTCCAACAACTTATTCCCAAGCTGCGCCATCTCAAACTTTCTCACCTTACCACTCCCCGTCAGGGGTACTGCCGCGGGGACACCATCCTCACCCAGCCAAAAGATATGCGTGGGCGCCTTATGCTTGCCCAGCTTGCGGCGTACCCACTCGCGAACCTCTTCGAGGTCAGGCTTCTTCGTGGGGGAATGGCTCGGGTCCAGCTGCAGGAATGCGCCGACCACCTCGCCATAGTGCTCGTCTTTGAGGCCAACCACGACAGCCATGCTGATAGCGGGGTGCTCGACTAGGCGCTCTTCGATTTCGAGCGGGTAGATGTTTTCGCCGCCTGGACACATTCAGTCAGTAAGACTTGTCAACGAGAAGAAAAAAAAAAGGGAAGGGGGGAGAGAGGTGGGGGTGGGGGGAAGCTTACCCCGAATAATAATATCCTTAAACCTCCCCGTAATAGTACAATACCCCCTCTCATCAAACACCGCCTCATCTCCGGTATGCAGCCACAAAACACCCTGCTCATCCCGAACCATCACCTCGTTCGTCTTCTCGCTGTTGTTCCAGTACCCCGCCTGCAGCTGGTAACCCCCGATGCACAGCTCGCCCCTGGTACCAATTGGCACGATCCTCCCCTCGCGGTCCACAATCTTTGCCATAGCATGCGGCATCAGCGTGCCGACCGTCGTCAACCTGACATGAATAGGATCGTCGGTAAACGCATTGAAACACGTTGGCGACGCCTCCGTCAACCCATAGCTCGACGTGAACTCCGTCATGCCCAGGCGCGAAACAAGTTGTTCCATGAGATACCGCGGCACCGGCGCACCTGCGATGATGCCCGTCCTCAGACGCAGATCTTTCGCCTTGAGGTTCTTCGCCTCCGGCAGCGCCAGCAAGCTATCAAACATCGCCGGTACGCCATGCACAGCCGTGCACTGCTCCTCGATAATCGCCTTCAGCGTCGCCTTCGCATCAAATACCTCCGCCGGGTAGACAATCTTCGCTCCATGAGTCAACACCGCCATCAGACCCAGCACGAGACCAAAACAATGGAACAGCGGCGGCGGACAGCACAGGATGTCGTCGGGCCCCAGCCGCATGCGGTCGCCGATGAAGCGGCTGTTGTTAACGATGTTGTGGTGAGTGAGCATGGCGGCTTTGGGGAGGCCTGTCGTGCCGGAGGTGAATTGCAGGTTGCAGACCATGTGGGGGAGGACCTTGAGTTCGCGGCGGTGCAGCCGGTCGGGATTGATCTTCGCGCCGCGGGCGAGCAGGTCGGCGTAGGTTTGGTACCCCTTGGAATCGTCCCCCCTGATGATGACGACCTTGGGGCTGGGCTTGTCGGTGCGCGTGGCCAAAGCCGTGAGGAGAGGCCGCTGATCCAGCCGGCCGATTTGCTTGGTGGTGAAAAAGACTTTGCATTCGGAGAAATCCAGGCCGTACTGTGCCTCGGTGGGCGTATAAGTGTTGTTGAGGATCACCAGAATCGCCCCGATCCTACTCGCGGCAAAGAAGATGGACGCGTACTGCTCGCAGTTCCCCGCCATGATGCCCACACGATCACCCACGCCGATGCCCATGTCCAGCAGGGCGGCGGCGATAAGGCGCGAGTGGTGGTTCAACTCGTTGTAGGTCCAGCGAGCGCCCGTCCATGGGATGATGAGGGCCTCGCGCGTGCCATAGTGCAGGCATTGAAGATTGAGGAGCTCTCCGAGGGTGAGATCGACTAAAGGGGGATCGGTTGGCCCGTAGAGGAGGGAGGGTTTTTGTGTGTCGGGGAGTAGGATCCCGTCGCTGGGATGGGGGGCGGGCATTTTGGGAGAGGGCATCACGGACCAGTCGACACTCAGGAAGAATTAGGGTATTAGATGAGAGATAGGAGTGATAAAATAAAAAAAAAACAAATGGCTGATAGATGTACGGAGATGAAACAAGAAGCGAAAAAGATGAAGAGGAGAACCTCAGCAAAAAAAAAAAAAGGGCACTCCGGGTATGTGTCTATGAGTGATGTGCCGTCGCCACAACCAGGGTGGGATGTCGATTTTCACTTTGACGGCCACCCCGGGGGGCCAGGTGGGCTCGATCTAATCAGATAAGATGCATCAAGTCTAGCCAAGTTTTGTCCTGGGGTCGGAATTAGCGGGGTTGGCCAGGTTGTCGCCGACCATCTTGGTGAGCTTGGTGAGGATGTCGTTTCTGGCTCTCGGTCGACTGTTGCCTTTCCTCACTTACATTGCTTGTGCACTACTCTTCTTGAAAGTTTCATTTTCCTCCTCAACATAAACAATTTGACCTCATTTTGCTTTCTTTTTCTTTCTTGAAGCTCATCTTCACATTGACGATACAACCTCCGGCAATCCCTCGGCCCAAGACGGCGGGAGAGTGGATGGGAAGCATTGAAACCTCATCGTTCCCCACCAAGAGCGGGAACCCTGGAATGGAAATGTATGGCTAGTACGCTCGGAACAGATTTTTTTTTTCCTGCTGTTCCCTGCTCGCTTCCCGGTGCTGCGTCTCTTCCTGGGGAAGAGTGGATGCCGAGACTCCATCCCCTTCTCTGCAGCCTGCTGAGACTCTGGGTGCCTGGAAGGATGCAGAGGAAATTGGAAGGAGCACACTCTTGGTCTGCTCGATTGCAACCAAGCTTGCGGTGGGGTCTCCTCTTTCCATCTGATAACTCAAAGACGTGCCGAGTGGTGTGAGTGGTGTGATGGTGGGGCGGGGCAGCCGTACCGCGCGTGCTGACTGGATGGAACAGTGCGAGGTAAATGCCTCAGGATAGCCGTAGAGGTGCCCGAGTGCTCGTTCTGGGAGGTTCTTGCGCATCTAGTCGTCGTGCTCCTTCTGTCCTTGGATCTGATAAGATGGGGCGGAAGGGATGGAGTGCGAATTCGAGAGGCCTGGTGAGGGGGAGGGGGCCTGGGGAAATTTTTTCAGTGGAGACCAATTTTATTTTATTTTATTTTATTTTATTGGGATCCAGAATTTTGGGACAGATTGGGACAGAACTCGTGGACGCTTGTGCTCCTGGAAAGCCGCTGTGTTTTTCTTCTGGAAGACCATCTGTCTGTCTGTCTGTCTGTCTGTCTGTCTGTCTGGTTGTCTTACTGTACAGATTAATACAGAACACAATACCTTGATGATTTAACCTTCAAGCCATCTCGAACTCATCTTGAAGCCATCCCAAAAAAAAATCGTGAATGACCCCTCAATTGTTTTTTTGCCCTCCGAAGTCGCAGCCAAGACCAAACCAGGGCCCTAGCTAGCTCGCAAAAGAATTATCTGATCCGCCTTCTGGCGTCCGACTAAAGTTATCAGATCCGAAGCCCGTTTGGCGCTCGTTCCCTGGCGTGGCGCCCCCCGCGTGTAACACCTCCCCCCCGCCCCCTCCCATTGGCTGTGTGACTCTCCCACACCTTGATGCTCACCCCCATTCCGGATCGAGGTTGAGCCGAACTCGCGATACATCCGGCTGCTGGGTTGGTGGTGCAAGGGTTCCACGAGGAAGAGCGCCATGCCGAGCGTGGATTCGGCTTTTGTTTGCTTTGCTCGAAGGCTGGGGATACCGGTACGCATGGGATGGGATGTGATGAGGATGTGGATGCATGTCGTATCTGGGCGTGTGGGTGAAGTGAATATTGCGAATTTTTTTTTTTTTTGCTTAGCTTTTTGCAAGATTTTCCCTATGTTTTCTGCATCAATTGCGTGGTGTGCGTTGTGTGCCCTCAACAGCTCGACCTGATCACCTCTACGCAGCACTCATCACCATCCAACAAGCATAATGACCCGCCGTCAACAAATCTTCGCCTCCCTGACGACCTCCTCCTCCGTCCTCCTTAAGCTTCCTCACCCGTATCTCACCCCCTACATCGTCACCAAATCCCCCTCCTGCGAAGACTCCTTCCAATTGACTCCCCAGCCATCGCCTGCTGATGCCAAACCCCTCCCGACGCCACTACACAACCCTTCCCTCTCCTTCACCGAACCCGTCGACCTCAAGCTGGGCGATCGTCCCAAGGACAGCAACAACACTGCCTGGGCGCGCGCCCGTCGTTCCCCCGCGGTAACGGTCCGATGGGCAGACGATGAGCCGACGATCGGCCAGCTCTGGCTTGTTACATATGCCGTGTTCACGGTCCGGGGTAGAGAGGAGGCGTTCCGGCTGCGTGTTGAGGGAAAGGGCGCCGAGAATGTCAAGAGGAGGTTGAAGGTCGTAGGGTTGGGGGTTGATCATCCCAAGGAAGCTCCTTCTACGACTGCTGCTGCCGCCAACAGCGAAGAAGACGACGAAATCCTCATCCTGCGCAGCTCCTTCTGGCAAGGCGCCGGCTCTCCATTCGGGCCTCGTCCCGCTTGGACACCCGAGACTCAAGACCCAGATCTTTCGAACTACCCTTTGCCTCCTCCCGCCTATACTCTCAGCTACCGTACCTCCTCGGGCGGCGCGGCCCCCGATCTGAGCTCAACCACCCCCCGCACGCCCTCCTGGCACCCGCATCGCAGGGCGAAGCCTGCGCCGGGCAGCGTCATCTACAGCCGGTGGATCCCACATCTCGGTGAGACCTTCAGCATGGTGGCGCTGGATGTGGAGAATGAGAAGCATGTGGCGCTGTTTCACAACTGGCAGAACGATCCGCGCGTGTCGCAGGGGTGGGATCTGCGGGGCACGCTGGACCAGCATAGAGAGTATCTGAGGAAGGTGAGGGATGATCCGCATCGGTTAGCGGTGATCGGGAGGTTCGAGGGGGTCGAGTTTGCTTATTTTGAGGTTTATTGGGCTAAGGTTAGTTCCGTCTTTTGGGGGTATCCCCATACAGAGGAGATGAGAGGAGATGAAAATGTCCGTGGTAATGGATGAAGCTAACACCCCCTCCCCCCCCCTTTTAGGAAGACCCCATCTCCGCCTACTACCCTGCCGACGACTACGACCGCGGCCGCCACAGCCTCGTCGGCGACGTGCGTTACCGCGGCCCGCACCGCGTATCGGCCTGGTGGTCCTCCCTCATGCACTATCTGTTCCTGGACGAGCCGCGCACGCGCTGGGTGGTGGGCGAGCCGAAGCATACTAACAGCAGCGTGCTGGTGTATGATTTGAGCCATGGGTTCAGTCTGGAGAAGCTGATTGACCTGCCGCAGAAACGGAGCGCGCTGATGAGGTGTAGTAGAGAGAGGTTCTTCCAGATGTGTCCATTGGATGAGAACGAGAAGGTTGTGTTGGGGACGGGGGTGGGGTTGGTGCCGAAGTTGTAGGCTGTGGAGCTGAGTAGGGGAGATCGAGAGGAAAAGTGTGGGGGAAATGAGGGGAGAGTACAGTAAGATATTGGGCAGCAAGTAACTAATTATTCTTTTTTTTTTCTTTCGCGTTTGGGCTTGGGTAGGCACCTAAAAAAATAGAGAGCGTGTTTAGTATGGAGGAACCAACTGTAGGAGGCACAATATCAAGTGAATTGGTGATCAAAGTTCGACCAACGTCCAGAATAATGAAATACAAGAGAATCAACCAATCTGCGAGTGACTGGGCAACTATTTCCGAACCGTCCTCGGCTGGATGGTATATAACAGCCTACAACTGCGCGGATATCACTATGTCAAAGGTCACTGGGGTGTCTAGCATACTGAAACGCTTTTGGCTTGACTGAACAATATACCTCCAAGGTTACCCATTACATATGTTCGCTCGTCACTTCCGTTAGGTGATCTCAATCATCCGGAGCTGCGAGGATGCATGTCCAAAGTTACTCAACACTTAATGATGCCTATGACACCTTAAGCTGTGTAATTAGCGACCAAGGTAATGGACAAAAATCTTTTTGATTCCTTTATGAATGACATCGTTCTTATATGAACCGAACGCGAATAAGCAGATGTTAGTCCATTGGTTATGGCCATGGATTGTAATTAAGATTATTGGATGTGGAGGAGATGCTGGCGGGCCCCTCCTTGCACAGAGGATGTCCGTGTTTGATGCATCGAGTTTTGTGTTCCCTATGGATGGAGAGCAAACCTCCGACCTGCTTGCGTATAGATATGCCTGATCGATCTAGGCCAGGGAACTCTGTTCCATGACTTCAGTGGCATTCTTCAAAGTGACAGGGGACAGTTCAGTTCACACGTAAGGTTTGGATCAAGTGAGCATCTTACTTTCCATAAACCAACTTCATCTTGCATTGGGTTGCCAACTGGAGCCATCTCGATCGAGTGATGCACCCATGTCAATGATGCCAGCAACCCTTCCGATGACAGCAACCCCCCAAGCCCCAAGTGTCCAAAGAAGCGGGATATCCTTTCCCCTCCCTCATGCCGTCCTTCATCAACACTGGAGGTACTTGTCAACGGTGATGCACCTTGAATATCCGCTCGGATCGGAGTTTAACCCCTCTCTATTCCAAACGCCGATCCCTACCACACCTCGGCAGCTCGCGGACGTCGGTTGGCTGGTGATGATGAGATGATCTGATGATCAGATAAGATGAGCATGCAGCCCACCGAACTAGTGGGATCCACTTAATGACAGGGTCAGGTTGTATTGGGACCCACTTTGGCTGGATTCTTGCAGATGCAAGGTTCTGATTCTTGGGGGGGTTCCACCTTCTGGAGCGGGGATCGGGAAGTGTTTTCGTCCTGCTGAGCTCGGACACAAATCATCCCCGGGAGAATTGGGACGAGAGAATTTTGGACGGGATGAAGATCGAGGGTTTGTGGATGGGAGACAATGGGATGGAGTTTGACTATTGTAGGAAACTTCATTGATCCCAACTTTTTTGGACAGCCTGCCTGAAAAAGGATTGTTCGAAGACTGAAAGACACCACTTCCCACATTTTACCGAACTGAGCTCGAAAACCCTCCCTCTGGTTACGAAAATAAAGGCCCGGTTTTTTCCCCTGCCCCAGCCAGCCGTACATAGTTCGATTTTGTCCCGCCATCCCGGCATCGGAACAGCTCACACGTCAAGTGACACATCCATCAGGGGTTCACCCACAAAGCCGTTGGAATTGTTTTCGCTTTTCACACTCCTCCCATCCTGTAATTGTACACACACGGTATCGTCTCGTCTCGGCTCGGCTAAGTAACCGACCGGGCATTGTGGGGACTCTGGCTGACTGGAAAAAGACGGCGGCAGTCGGGGCGGCAGGCTCGGAATGGTTCAAGTTCAATCAGTTGGATAGATGATTCAATGCAGTGAGGTGAGCAGTCAAGTCACACGAGGGACGAAAACCTGTCCCCGGGCCTACCCAGAGGAGTGGAGCCTTTCATATCGAGGATCTCCTGGACCCCTAGATGCCGATGGACGGATGTCGTTGGTTGGTCAAAGCAAGCACATGCAAGATGCAGGCCCTTTGGCGAGACCTCCTCTGAGCAACGTCCAGCCAGCCCTGTCGCGTCCCTCTCGGGGTAGCTAGCCGCCCCCGGCTTGGGGGGAGGAAGGTGTTTGGGGCTTGAAGAATGGATAAAGACCGCTGAATTTGACGTTTGGAGATTCGAAGGGTTCTTTTGCTAATTTTTCTCTCCATTTGCTCTCAAACAGCCTACCCAAGTGTTCGGCCTGGCTGGATCTAATTCTGATTAGATCTTATCTGATCTATAGGCTCGGATCTGATAGTCTCGCTTCAACTTTGTTGTTGTCGTTGCTAGCTTCGATCTAGATCCGATCAATTGACTCTATCAGCTCTTTTTCTTCCGTATTTACGACGTACTGCCGGGTGTTACCTCTACATCGCCAGTCCATCCTCGATCCCAAGGCCTTCGCACCGTGCCCCGTCCTATCCATACCTTTCGTCGACCATCACCATGGGTTCCCTTTTCCAAGACCGCGCCTGCACCTGCCCTGAACTTCATGTCGGCCTCGACTCTCCCACACCACAACAGCCCTTCCGTCTGCTCGTCCTCGGCGGCGGCTACGGCGGTTTGTCCGTCGCCCTCAACCTGCAGGACCTGTGCCGTGGGCAGGCCCCGCGGTGCGGGCCTGCGCCGGAGGAGGGTGCTCCGGTTGTCGAGAGGCCAAGATTTGAGGTCGAGATTGTGATTGTGGATGAGAGGGATGGGTTTTGTACGTCGTTGTCCCCTCCATCAACCCAGGTCTATCACATGGGTTGTCCCTGCTCCCTGGAGGGTGGGGAGTATGCGAGGGCATAAAGCACAAGCTGACTTTTTCGGGACAGTCCACACAATCGGCGCTCCCCTCGCCCTCGCCTCCGAAGACTTTGCTTCTAAATTCTGGATCCGCTACGACGAGATCCCCGCCCTGCGCTCGCCTAACATCAGGGTTCTGCACGGCAGCGTGAAGAGTGTCGACCCCGAGCGCAAGGTCGCCACATACCTGCCTTATGCTGGCACAGAAGAGAAGCAGCTAGAGTATGACTTTCTGGTGGCCGCCACAGGTCTGCGCCGTGCCTGGCCTGCTGTCCCGCAGAGTCTGAGAAGGAAGCAATATCTTTTTGAGATGGGGGATCATCTCAGGAGTATGACGGGGCGCAAGAAGGGGGTAGTGGTTGTCGTTGGTGGGGGTATGTCCTCTCCCTCCCCTACCCTAAAGCCTGCCTACCCTGCGTCGTTCTATCCAGAAAGGAGGCAGTGCTAACTGTGACCGCTGTCCAGGCGCCGTCGGCATCGAACTGGCCTCAGAGCTCAAGACCCTCCATCCCCATCTACACGTCATCCTCGCACACTCCCGCTCACAGCTCCTCTCCAACGAGCCGCTTCCAGACGAGGTGAAGGAGCGTGCGCTGGAGCTGTGCCGTGATGCTGGGCTCGAGGTGCTTCTCAATCATCGCTTGGAACGTTCTGAGCCTGTCAAGGGCGAAGCCGGCAAGGTGACGGGCGCTGTCGAGGTTGTTTTCACGAATGGGAAGACTATCGTGGCGGACCGGGTGGTCATGGCTGTGTCGAGGAGCAGTCCGAATACGGGATTTTTGCCTAGGGAAGCGGTGGATGAAGAGGGGTTTGTTAAGGTACAGGGGAGGTTAGTACATCCTACATCCTTCCTCCTCCTCCACCTGTCATCATTCCCATGTCTAACATCGCATGCCTACACAGCCTGCGCTTCTCCCCCTCTACAATCCCCAACAGCACCCACCACTACGCCATCGGTGACATCGCCCTCTGGTCCGGCATCAAGCGCTGCGGCGCCGCCATGCACATGGGGTACTACGCGGCGCATAACATCCACCAGACGATGCAGCAGATCGTGCATGGAAAGCAGGAAGAAGAGCTGCTGGAGCTCAAGGAAATCCCTCCCATGATCGGCCTGGCTGTTGGCAAGCAGGCGGTCGCGTACTGGCCGGAGAACGGGATGATTTATGGAGAGAAGGTGTTGAAGGACTTTTTTGGAGAGGACTTGGGGTTTACGAGTAAGTATCCTCTTTTCTCTTCAGGACTCCTTCAATAATAATGTAGGAGGAGTGCTAACAGTGAGGCAGTCTGCTGGAACCACATGCGTCTTGGAGAGGAGGGGAAATGATCTGGGTATGGTAATAAGGTTTGATCTGGTACGGCGTTGTATGGGTCGGGATTTCTTGGGAAATTCATGTCATTCGATGCGGGATTGGGTATGGGTTTTTTTTTTTTTTTTGAATGGAATAGTGTTTTGAGCATCAAGTTAAGACGACTACGTAACGGGAAAATGTTAGTAATGAGCATGCATCTTATGGCATGACGTGCAAAGACGACTGACGACGACGACGACGACGACACTATTCCTGTAATGCTTCCCCCTCATCCACAGCTTCCTGCACCTAATGTCAGGTTTGGCAGATCAGCAATTGGATTACCCCGGTTAAGCTGTTACACAGACAGGTTAAGCATCACTCCGTCCCCTTTTCCGGCGTTTGTTCTTGTGGTCCAAGAACCGACTGGCTGCCGTTATGGCAAGACACGGCCAGTCGGAGTTATGCCATTTGCCAATGAATTTTCCTCTATCCCATGCACAAAGAGCCGTTGAAGTTCGTGTTCCGACTGACGAAGTTTTTGTTGTCTAGAGGACATGACTCGGGCGTAAACTGGGTTGCGTGTCAATCTCGTTATTTTTATTCTTCCGAATTCAGATCTCTATCGCAACCTAAACTTCAAAATTATCCACAAATGTGGACAAACCATCTCTTTCCGCCAAAGCCAAAATATGTTCCTTCCCCAAGCCCTCAACAACCTTAAAAATATCATCCACCGCAATTGCCTTGCCATCGATCATCGAACATCACCCAATTCTCGTTCCAACGCTGTGGAAAGGATCACCCCTCAAAATCCTGCCCCTCCTACCCCCGCCCAGCAAGACATCCAATTGGCCGACTGGTGTAGTGGTTATCACGTCTCGTTCACAGCTTATGTGATGCATTGAAGGCTTTCTCCTCAAACTGCCTCCGAGAAGGTGCCAGGTTCGATCCCTGGGTCGGTCATAATTTTTGCTCCTCCCCCTCCCAAACTCCTCGATCTTAGGAGTTCTTTTTTCCCCTCAGGTACTGTGAGGGAAGGGGGTGAGGAATGGAAGGCGAATATTGGCTTGGTGGTGAAAGGGATGTATATATATATATATCTACCGGGCTGGAGAAGCTAGAGAGGATTTAATTTAATCAATAACGGCTTTAAGAGCCTGTTCTCAAATTATGAACAAGCCCTAGAGGCACCTACTAAGCATGTTTGGAACCCGTGGCGCTGTGCAGACTAACAATTGTCAGAGTCACTGTTCCCTGTCATCTTCCATGATCTCGGCCTAGTAAAGGGTCGTTTGCTTCAATCTTTCTGTGTTTTAGTATGCCCTTATACCTCTCACCATAAAAGAAGGGGACTTGTTACCCCTGGGCCAATTACTCCTCTAGCCAATGCGATGGCTTCTAGCTTCGATAGCAACCTGGCTTCTTAACTCTAAGACTCGAGGTCTTTGGTGTCGTTTTTGGTCTTTGGCACTGTGTACGATAGAGTGTGTTATTGACTTTCCCGGTATTTCCCACTTGGTGTGAGCATGCTAGCTGCCCAGACACTGAACTGATGATCAACTTCCATGTCTATCACGCCAGTGTCCATGCCTCGCCATAATCACTCTCCAGGAGCGATGTCATTTTTTAGGAATTCACAGACGCTATCTCAAAGTAGCACGGATCAGAAGCCGGTCTTCTCCCGTCATTCCCTTCCAGCTCTCACAGCCCACTCAATACCTAGCTTCTAGCTAACACATCACACCATGAGCCCGTTAACAAGGGAGATTTAGTTATGATGGTACCGTTCTCATTCTACTCTATCTAGGTATGTTGTCAGGCTCTTAACAATATTATGTTATCCTATACCGTCATGTCCATCACATCCTCTAGTAAGTAAAAGAAACAAAGGAAAACGCTCGTTAGTAGGTAGGTGTATAAGACAAAGGAAACAGCTCGAGTCATCAGTCGGTACTAGAACAACCATCCTGACCTTCCGAGCCTACCCATCCCCCTTTATTGAACCATCAACCATCCGCTTACGTATTAGTCCTGCTAGCCAGGTATCATCATCCCGCTCGACAAAAGACATTGCTTGACAGAAAAAGCCTGACGCTGTGATGAACGCGAACATGAGGAATCATTACCCCGACACCTGAGAGAAATTATTGCCGACCACTCGCTGACTCTCAACGCTGACAACTCACAACCCGGCCAAATATCGCTGCATTAACAAGGCAAGTTGGTTGGCTACAACCCCGGACCAAAGAGATCATCCCACTCATCCTGCGCCAGCTTCCTTTTCTCCCTTTCCCTCTTCTTCCCCGTGGTCGCGTTTTTCTCACTCTCCCCAACCTCCGTTTCATGTTTGGGCTCATCAGCCTTAGGCTCCGGATCAGGACCAGGAGAAAGCCACTCCTCAGCATCCTCAAATACCTCCTCGCCCACGGTCGATGCTTCTCTTTCTCTCTCGACCACTTCGCCTGGTTGGGGCTTTTCTTCCGGCTTGTAGGAGTCACTATTTTGCTTTGCAAAACCCTCCTGAGGAGGAGAGGTCGGCAGAGAAGCAGGAGTAACCACCAAACTCGGCACCCTCTGCTTATCCCGCCCCGGCACATCAGTAGTCAGAGGACTAACCTCCGACATCTCATCCGCCTTCCCGTCCTCACTTGCCTCTCCAACCCAATCCGGGGCACTCCACACCGGTAGTCTCGCCCTTACCCCCCTCTCCTCTTTTTGCTTGACCACCCCCCTTTTACCGGTGCCGGCAGGTTCCGCAGCAACTCCATGCCAGTCCCCCCCATCCTCTCCCTCCTCGCCATCAAACCAAGGCCCCACCGAGTTCCCCGACATCCCCTCATCCTCATGATACGGATCGGGATCACCTACAAACGATTCCAAGTCCACATCGCTGGACCCGTCCTCGCCCCACATCAGTTCCAACGGCGGGGACCGCGGCCGCGGCGGGGGAGGTGAGAGGGGTAGTTTGATGTCACGATTGAGGGACATGATCCTAGCAGATGAGTCCGTCGACGTCGAGCCCGAGGTCGTTCCAGAGGTGGAGGTGATCTTATCTATCCCAGAAGACGTCGGGCTGGGGGAGGATTCGCTAGCTTGCACCAAGAGAGGTGGGCTGTTGGAGGGCTCCCCGCTGGTAGAGCGCTGCCCTGGGGTAGAGGACATGCTAGACTCGAAGCTTGCCTCAACAATCGGCCCTAGACAGCCCTGCCGTTCGACAACGCCATCAAGACAGGCCTCGTCTTCGTCAGGCACAAAGCTCCTGCGACCGGAAGCTCTCGCCCTCGCAGCAGCCATCTCAGAGCTCTCACCCGGCTCCTCAACGCTCGCCGTCCTGCGCTTGGGAGTCACAATAGGTATAGAGACCTGCCCAACGGACGCTCTTCTTCTCTCGACACTGGCCCTCCGATTCCCGGGCTGAGCTTCCGTTCCGACCGGAGTAGGCCCCATCTCCAATGTTCCCCCTCTCTCATCCGCAAAACTGACCCTGCGTTTTCTCTTCCAAACACCCTCCTCCTCACTAGTGCTCAACCCGTTCACGGTATTCACGCCCCCAACCCTAACCCCCACCTCCCCCCTCAAAGGCGGCATCGTCAACTCCCCCGGCTCAAACGGCCTCAACTTCGTCTTCGCCAACCTCTCGATGACCTCCGGACTCCAAAGCTGCGCGATCGACTTACTCCTCCTCACAGGCGAGGTATGCGCCGAGTATGCCTTCCTCTTCCCCATCTTCATCATCATCATCATCATCATGCTCCTCTCCTTCTGTCTCTTCCTCTGGCGCGAGAAATCTATCCACAGCCCATCCTCCTCTTCTTCGTTAGGTTTCTCCTCGTCCGTCCCCTCCGGACTGACCTCCGGCGTGGCGAACGGTGAAAAGTCGCTCTGCACCGCAAACCGAAGACAAGACCACGAGTGCCGTTTTGGCCCCAGCACCCACTCCTCAGGACTCTCTTCGTCCTCCTCGTCGACTTCACTCTTGACCTTCGGCCGCCGCACAACCTTGACAAACCTCGGCTCCGGCGACACCAGATCCGGCACACCAGCTTCTTTCCTCCTCAGATCCGCCGCATTCTGCGTGAAAAACACCTTATCCCGTAGCACCATGACTGCTCGATCCAGCGCCATCTCAATCCCAAGCTTAACCCTCAACTGACTCATTTTGGGCCAAGCAGCCCTTTCACCGACCTCACACTGCCGCAGCATGAAACTCGGATCCGGATTGGCAATCAGCCGCATGGTGTCACTGAAGCTGGGCCGTGGCCAGATGGTCACATCGCCGTGGTAGTTCTGCGACATGATGCGGTGGAACTTGTCGAGGAAGTTGTCGACGCCGTATGGGAGGGGGGTGACCTCGCGCACGGTGCGGATGCGATGGCAGATCTCGTCGACGGCCATTTCTTTGACCTTGGTAGCGAGTTTGCTCACGTTAAAGCCCCGCTCTCCCGGCTTGCGTTGTCGAGGGCTGTCGCTCGGCTCGAGCATGTCGTTCTGGTCCAGAAACGGCACGATGTGGGGGTTCACCTGGGAGACTACGAGCTGGCTGACGCCGAAAAGCTCGGCCAGACGGGCCATGGGGACGTCGTGATGGAAGGAACCGTCGATGTAGTCGCGCGGCGGGGGCTGCCAGGGGAGAAACTCGCCGGTTGAGGGGTCTTTCATCATCAAGGGAATCGACTTGAAGACTGGGGGTAGATTGCACGAGGCGGCCACGGCCGACCATATCAAAACGTGAGGACTGGTAAGATAGTTCAACAACGTCGGCAAGTCGTGCTTTTCCTTCGGAGTGACACAGATATTCAAGATCCTGCGAGTCCGATGATAAGCCTCGATGAACGTAGTATCGCCCAGCCAGCTGCGCATGACCCGGATAAGGCCCTGGATGTCGCAGACGGCGCGCTGGGAGATCATGGTTCGGAAGTAATCGGCCCACGTGGCGTCCTTCGGAGAGAAAACGTCCAGGTCGCGGTAGGGAAACTCCTGGATCAGGCTCTCGTACTCCTCCTCGCGCTTGGAGCACAGTACAGCGGCGATGATGGAGCCGGCCGACGCCCCAGAAATAATGTAGGGCAGCAGGCCCGACTCGTACATCGCCTTGCACACGCCGATGTGCGTCATACCGAGGGTCGCGCCGCCGCTGAGGCAGAGAGCAGTGCGGCCATAGTTAGCTCGGGCCTCGGTCAAATCTTGCATCAAGACCATCGCGGTTTCATTGTCGCGATCCAGGGCATCGGCAACAATCTGCTCGATAGTTTCAATAACGGTGCTCGTGTAGCGCTCGATCAGGCGCTTCGTGCCGATGTACGAGTGGCACCACAGCTCGCGGCGGTGCATGCGGCCGAGGTCACGCCGCAGGCCCGTCTTGATAATGTACAGCTGGTGCTCGCGGTCGTGCTTGCTACGGGCTTCGAGCAGCTCGTCCAGCGCCTGGCGGATTTCCTGGGCATTGTACTCGGGGTCGTCGTCGTCCTCCTTCCAGGCCTCGTTGCCTTCGAGCATGTCGAGCTCCTTGGCCGCCTGCTCCCAGTCTTTCAGCGACTTGGCCTGCCTGATGTCAGCATCTGCTGCTTGAGTCTGAAGACATTCTGAGGACGTACATTACGCATCTGCTCGGCCAGCTCGGCCATGCGTTCCTCGCGGCGGCGGGCCTCCTGCCGCTGTGAGCTAGACAGGCCATGTCGGACGGACAACAGGAGGTTGCTGGCACGGTTGGCGGTGCTAAGGGCTCCCGAGAGCACGGAGCCGCCGATTCTGGCGGCCCGGACCACGTTGCTGGAGACAGCCGAGGGCAATAGGGGGATTCGTGTGTTGCTGTTGTCGGCAGAAGGGGCCGAGTGTCTTTTATTCGGGAACATGTCAACTCAGGTGCGTTGTGGACTGCCGTCCATGGGTTCCGGCGGCGGTCCTGCGACAGTTATGAATGCGTGTCAGCTAAATAGGGGCAGGCTAAGTTCCTGAGCAATCAGGCGATGTCTTTTGATGTTTCGGCAGGCTGACGCTAGCGTGGTGGTGCGCGACTGTGCGTCATGCAGCGGGATCGGATGCAGGCAATTAAATAGCAGTAGATTATCTTGGAAGTGATGATGATGGTATTGATACTCAGGATAGTCGTGTTCAAGAATTAATCATAAGATGAAGTGCCTGGATGCTGTGCCGCTGTGGCACTGGTTGGTTGATGGACATGATTGGTGTTTATCTTTTTTTTTTTTTGGCTTGAAGCCATCGACATAGATAAAGCACTTGAGACATGGAGATAGCGCATGTGCTCTCTCCTCAGCAAGGAGTGGGCCCACGTTAGGAAAGCAGGTGAGGAAAGCAGGTGAGGGAGAGAGGGAGCTGCGAGTCTGCACTTGCGACGTTGAGTTGAACGCGGAAGTGGTGATGCCCGGGTCGTATTACGAGGACGGTAATTACGAGCTGTAGGACGGGATGAGCAAGGCATGCTCTCAATCCTGCACAGCTTGAAGGAAAAAAGATATCGCAGTAAACAATTTAACCTTTCTGATGCTCAAAAATGATTTTTTTTCCCATGCCAGTCAAAATTAGTGAGTCAAGATGAGCCTTTGGTCAAAGAGTTTATCTGGTGATGCTGAGCGTGATTACAACACGCTTACAACGGCGCTAGCATGTGATTCTACCCCATCGCCCTGTCATCGCCCGGGAGAGGGAGAGGGAGAGCGACAGATGCCGCAACTCTACCCGCCCCATTCATGCGTCCCTCCTGTATCGGAATGCCACTGGATGCAACTCTCGCTTGGCGCACGAGGAAGCGATGCTTACTGCATGTCCAACAAATGCTGACAGCTCGGATTAAGATCGCATCTTTATAAGTTGAATGGCCCAAACGATCCCGAAGCGGAAGTTACCCTTAGTGCTTGCTGTCAAGTGGCGGCTCATTTTTAGCCTGCCATCGAAGATCACGTGCGTGAGGTACGACATATTAACGCATTATACTTTCGATTATTAGTTTTTAAATATCGAAGGACAGAAATCCCCAGCTTAGACTTCTCATAACAGTCTTGTGTGTCTGCTGACTTGTTTCACTGCAGTCCCCAAGCTTTATCGGTGTTGTAGGCAGTTTCCGTTGGGCTTGGTGTCCCGCCTGCTGAGCCACTCTCGATCCTGCCGTCAGTAAGCGAGTAGGTATTCCAGATCTACCTAACTCTTTCGTAGGTCGCCAACTTCATCTATCCACACGATGCCCTTTCCCGACTATCCTTACAACATCAAGTTCAAGAGACTCCAGATAACATTGCGACGCAGGACTGTAAATGCTGGGCCTCGAACAACAGCCATCCCTCCAACATAACGCCGAGGGCCTGGCGAAGAGCGTTGTGGTAGGCATTGGGCAGCAAGCCAAGCCAATAGATGTGAAGCATGCTGAGCCTATGATTCAGCCTTACCCCCCGCACTGTCATCACGCAAGGTTGGCTGGGCATATATCACTCTTTTGAACGGCTTCTGGCTGTGTCATCCCAAAAGCCTTCTCGCATCCTATTCGCGTTGGAGCCGAGAGTTTGTCTTGTTTTTGTTAGATCTCCTCTTTGCCAATGCCCTTGCACACGAGAGAGCTTTCCACATGACTCTCTTTATCCTTTTTTTCATCATACCTCTTTCACTGTGGACATTATATCCAACTAGACCAGAGCCAACTTTCGGAGGCTTGCTCCTTTTCCAAAGGGCAACAGTTGCAACGCTACAGATCCTTGTGCTTTGACCCGACGCCGGGACATAAGGCTCAGGGGTGAGGGGCGAGGATAAGGGAAAAAGCTCTCCCTCTTTAAGATGTCCCACTTTGGAGACATAAAGGGTATTGGTATTCAGGTTGGGCATAATTATGGTGTTATCAACTGTCACCAAGCAGGTCTGTCCAAACCTTGATTTAGCTTGTTTGCGAGCAATTGTCTTGTGGCCGATCTTGAGCTGACATCCGTTCCACAAGATCAAAAACATGAAATACTTCAGTGGCTCTCTTCAGTGGATTGTTCGTCACAACAAAACGACTTTCTGCGCCAAAGACAAGAGGGCACAGGACAGTGGTTCCTACAATCTCCTCAGTTTCAGCAATGGTATAGTCCCTGTTTCTCTCATACCTGTCTCATTCCCATTATTCCTCAAGCTAATGAATCCACCGGGCTGTCAAAGAAGCCAATGACTCTATTCTGCCCCGGTATACCTGGTGCTGGAAAGACTATCATTGTGTCGATCGTCATTGATTATCTCCAAAGGAACTGGGGAGACCGTGACGTTGGCATCGCATACCTATACTGTAACTTTCGGCGTGTCAAGGACCAAACGGTGGAGCAGCTCATTGCCAATGTCGTAAAGCAACTACTCAGGAACAAATTTCCACCGCCAACCGCAGTCATGGATGCCTATACTCGACACGAGAAGCATAGATCACAGCCATTGTTGAGCGATCTTGAGGAGATGTTCCATAATGTTACCACCTTGTACAAGGACGGAGTTTTCGTTATTGTTGATGCGCTGGACGAGTGCCAGATGAGCGACAATGTTCGTTCCAAGTTCATTGAAGCCTTACAGCGCCTTCACTCCAGAGGAACTAATGTCAACCTCCTGGCCACATCTCGCCCTCTACCTGATATTGTGGAAGCCTTTGATGGGCACTCCTGCCTTGAGATCGTGGCCCAAAAGGACGATATCGAGAGATACATGCGTAATCAGCTGTCCAATTTGCGCGCTGTCTCGAAATCCCCGAACCTCCAAGATGACATCATTGATTGTATTGTCAGTGTCGCAGATGGCATGTAAGTTATCGTTTCTACAAAACATGGGTCATTGATTCAATTGAGCATATGCTTATCTTCAAAATCAGGTTTCTACTTGCCTACCTCATCTTCGAGTCCTTGAAGAATAAAGTTAGCGAAAAGCGCATCCGTGGAACACTTGACACGCTTCGCACCAACTCTCAAAAAAAAAGGATCCAAAGCTGGCCCTACTACACCAGGCATATAACGACGCAATGGAGCGAGTCAATGGGCAGCCAGATGATCACAAGGAACTCGCCAACCATGTGTTATCCTGGATCATCTGCGCCAAACGTCCTCTCAAAACGATAGAGGTTCAGTATGCATGGGCTGTCAAGGATAGTGAGAACGAGATTGATGAAACTGCGATCCCTGATGCTGGAGACATGCCTTTCGGCATGTTGTGGGCTCGTTGTGATCGACAAGAAGCGAATCATTCGACTTGTCCACCATACAGTTCAGGAATATTTCCAGGATACTTCGACTCAGTGGTTTCCAAACGGCCCACTTCGATATCGCAGATACCTGCGTGTCATACCTTTCGTTCAAAGACTTTTCGGGTGGTCCTGTCAGGACGATTGAGGACGCAGATGAACGACTTGGAAAACCTCTCTTTACCTATGCTGTTGACTACTGGGGACAGCATGCATCTGCGTGTTCGTTCTACACTCCTCAGCTGCTTGAGTTATTGACAAATCCGGAATGGGTCAGTATGGTGGCACAACTTTGTAACATCTTTTCCGAAATCAGAAAGTATCCTTGGGTTTCGTCACATGGTTTGATGCCATCTCAGAATGCATTTCACGTGGTTAGTGTCTACGGGCTCAATAATTTAGTCCAAGGGCTACTTTTTCGTGCAAAGGATATTGATCCAGACTGGAAAGACAACAAAGGCCGGACGCCGCTGAGTTTGGCTGCAGGGCATGGCCATACGGAGGTTGTTAAAAC